AGCCACCTGCCCAGTCTAAACAGCAGAATCCACCCAGCCAAGCCTGTCCTGCCCGCAGCTCAGGTCACCCCAGCTCTGAAGACAAGAGGGCCAGGATGAAAGAGACCAGGGCAAAAGAGTTCATGGCCCCCGCGGGGAGGAGAAAAAGCTGATCCGATTCATCATAGCTCTGAGGTTGCCTCTGTGTGACTGACAGTGACAGTCCCCTCCCTTGCCCACAGGGCTACCCTGGAGACCGAGGTCAGAACAGGACACAGAAGCAGATCTGTCTTCAACCTACAGGTGGAAGGACTTAGGGTTCAAAAGGAGAATTCCCTGGCCGGTTGGCTCAAAGGCAAGTCATGATGAATTCTTCAAGCATTCCTCTCATGACCATACCGGACCCTCCCCACCCCTGGAATAAAGTACACATTGACTGGTCCTCTTGTCAAAGACCAGGGCCTGGACACAAATGTCTCAGGCAACTCTCCTTTGGGCCTACACCTTGACCTGGATGCCAGGTCTTTATTTCCAGTACACATACCGGGCCAAGAGTCTCCAGCCTACAGGTTCGTATAGGGTTTCTAAAAAACACTGGGAACCGGAAAGAAACAACGGGCAGCTGCACACTAGGGAATGACGTCAGCCAAACTGCGATCAGCACCTGCTTCCTTCAATGTCTACAGAGCAGAGCATCGTGTTCGCTGCTCACGGCAACCCAAATTGTAGGTGTTCCCGTTACTCGCCGGGGACTCCTGGGAAGCTCACGTGTGGGACAGCACTCCACAGGGTTCAGAATGTGCCTTTTGGGAGCCGACTGCCAGAGCTTGCTTTTGTGGTGCATCTGGCTGGGGCCAAATTGCCAAGTTCACAGTTAGCAGTGTAGTGCTTGACTGTCTGGGCCACCCAAGGGCCCCTCTTGAAGCTCCCACGGATATATTACATTGACAGTGAGGTTGGGAGCATTTTAATAGGTTAGCTAAGATACGGTGTGGAGCCATCAGAAGTAGGAGGATCCTGAGCCCAAGGGAACCTTTCAAGGTTCCCATTTGAGCCCACCCCACCCCACCCCACCCCATGGATTATGCCTCCCCTTAGTCCGCCAACCAGGGATACAAAGTGTCTCATCTTCAGACAGAGTGCACTGGAAAGGAGATTACTGCAGATAGAGTGAGGTTAAAATTCAGCATCTTTCCACCTGTGTTCCCTTTCGACACATTTGTTTTTTCAAATCTGCTCCAGTTTTTATAATTTTCTGCTTTCTTTGGGATCGAGGATTTCCCGTGTGCTGTTTTGCTGTTGTTGGACTTCTTTTGTATGATTTTCTTGACATGAGAGCCAAACCAAACCAAACCCACAGCCACCAAGTCCGTCCTGACTCACGGCGGCCCTGCAGGACAGGGTGGACTGCCCGTGTGGGTTTCCAAGACTGCAACTCTTTACGGAAGCGGAAAGCCTCGTCTTTCTCTTGCAGAGCGGCGGGTGGTCTTGAACTGCTGACCTTGCGATTTGCAGCCCAACACACAGAACCCACCCCACAGCCAGGCTCCTGTGTGGAATCCCGGATGGGTGACTCTCCAGTGACTGAGGAGGAGTGGGGCGCTCATAACAACGAGAGCAAGCATGAAGAAAAGGCTCTAAAACAGGCTGCAGCGATGCTTGCACAACGTGCAGTAATCCATTGAAACGACCGGATTGTACGGCACATAAATTATCGGTCAATAAACTGCCACGGAGTGGTGAGAATGAATGGAAACGAAGCCTGTGCCCTTAGCCGGAAGCGCTGTTTGCTACTATTAAAAATAAACAGCAGCATCATAAAATAATGGGCCCTGCTGATTGGCTTTCCCAAAACACAAGGCTAGCTCCCCATT